TAGTCTTCATTTTTGGTTGTTTTTTTTGACGGTGAAACATATCTTTTAGACGTAGTACCATTTTTCACTGTCACAACGTACGTACGTGCTGCATCGGTATGAGATCTTCGGGGCTAAGCCCAGTAAAGTAAAAATCAAATTAAAATTACAGGTTTTATATGCTGCATTCAAAATTTTAGAGACGGTAATTTGCTAATCTAGACCGGACCAGACTGGTTAAGTTCTGGTCTAAAACCAATCATAGCTGTCTTTCCTAATAAAAAAAACCGGTTGAATCATCCCGGAATTGGATACTAATATTCCTAATACGTAATTCGATATTTAGATTGGAGTCTTTTGCAACCACGTTAATTTTGTTGAATTAATTTTAGTGCCAACTATCGTTATATGAAAATAAATAGTTAGCTTATATAAACAAACATTACATTTTTCTAAAGATTTTGCTGCAACACACCTATCAGCTACTAATATGTCATCTCTCTCGATCAATAGTAATTTAAGGTGCGTAGCGCAAAATAAGGAGTAACTTAAGGATATTTGTAAACAAAGTTCCATGAAGCAAATACGTACGTACGTACTTTAATGGAAATTTAGTTAAATTATAACCTATTTTAGAAGACAGGATGCGCTTTGTTCTTTATTAAAGAAACGATATTCATCCTGTTTTCTTAAGATGGGAATGTACACAATGCTCTTTGTATTCATATGATTTCATGTGGTACACATTGAGATGCACTTTATGGTCACTAGATCGGTTTAGCCTATTAAGCAACAATAAAAATGATCACATACGTAATAGAATATTCTCATGAAGTTTATAAGCTATAGTAACTTGAACTTAAACGATAGAAATTATAGAAATCCGCGAACCAATCCGTTTTTATAAGTTATGCGTAAAAGTTTTTGTGATTGTACACTAAAATCAAAATTGCCCAATTGCACTTGCAATAAAATTATTGTTTTTGCTTTAGATAATAATTATTACCAAATTTGTATTCAAGAATTTTCGTAAAACAATATTTTTGCATTAACTTAAATTTTAATCTTTTGAAATTTACAAATTTAATAGTAAATTTATGGAGTTGTTTACTATGACATCTTGTAACAAGGAAAAATAAAATCACATCGATTATAAGTTCAAAAAAGTCTTTGTGTGGTTTTTGTGTTCTCAATGAAATTATGTGATCTAGAACAAGAACACGACAATGATCAAAGTTGACCTAATTAAAACAAAAAAAAGTTAATAAATAATCAATTTACGATGTGATAATGCCTCCATAAAAGTCTCCTTTTTTCAAGATTCAACTATATAATTCATATAGATGAATTTTAATAAGTCAATATTCATTGATTAATGATATTTAAAATAAAAAATGTCTCTTGAAGAAAAACGAGAAAAAATCAATAATGAAGTACATGACACAGAAATTGGAAATTATGATAACTTTAATAAATCCTTGGAACGAAAAATTGTTTGGAAATACGATATTTACTTACTACGTATGTTTCTAAACTTTAACACTTTATAATTTAATATTACGTATGAAGTATCAGATAAATGTCTTATTATTAACTTCATCTTTTTTTTCTTTAACTTGGTTAGCACTATTATCACTACTATTGCTGTTCTCCGTAATTGACCGTGCTAATATAGGAAATGCAGTCGTAGCAGGATTTGATGCTAAATATTTAAACACTAATCCTATTGACTTTAATTGGGCTGTGGCATCACTTCTTGTCTCATACTTAATTTTTGAAATCCCATCAAACCTAGTAAATAAAATCTTAGGGTTTCATGTTTGGATTCCGATCATTATGGTGTGTTGGGGGATTGCATCTATGTGCCAAGCGGCAGTTACAACCGTCATTCAATTAGGAATTGTTAGATTTATTTTAGGTTAGTAACACGAAATAATATAATTTGTTAAATGATATATATGAATGTTTATAATGTTAACAACTTATTTATTAATGTGCAGGAATGGCAGAAGCAGGGTTTCCGCCATCTGTATTGGGATATCTTAGTTTATACTATGCCCGAAAAGAAATGACTTTGAGATACTCTGTCTTTCTAATTTTCGTCAATATTGCTGGTGCTATTAGTGGTATCCTTGTAAGTTTCATAACTATTCATCTTTGATAAATGATAATACTACAGCATTACATACTTATGTTAGATAATTTTTCTACATTCATACAATTTTATTAACAATAATAATTAAACTTGTTTCAGGCTTATTTTTTGGTTCAAGTACAAGGACCATTAAAAGGATTCCAGTGGTTATTCATAATTGATGGTATTCCAACAATCATTCTTGCAATAGTTATTGCTATATTCTTAACTTCTGGTCCCGGTAATGCTCGCTTCCTTACACCTCAGGAACGTATTATTGCTGTTGATCGTTTAAAATCAGAAGGTGGTCCTGGAGAAGTCGATCGTAGCACTGCCCGAGCTCAGATTAAACGTGCATTAACAGATATCAGAGTTTATATTTATTTTGGAATATTGGGATTTGGTTCAATTCCATCCTTTGCTCTTAGTTTCTTTCTTCCAGTTCTAGTAAAACAACTTGGATATAATGATGTGCAAGCTCAATTGATGACCGTACCACCGTTTATTTTTGCTACTATTTGTATGACCATAATTTCTTGGTTATCAGATAAATATCAAATTCGAGCTTGGAGCATAGTAGCTGGAGATATTATGTCCATTGTGGGATTTGCAGGAATTGTAGCCACGTCAGCAATAGATAAGAATTTGTATAATTTAAGATATTTTTTTACTACTTTATTGGCATGTGGAGTATGCACGGTGTTACCAGTAGCTTTTAGCTGGTTAACCTGTAATATTGGTTAGTATTTTTTTTTTTTGTATTCAGACTTTAAAGAATAATAATGTATATTAGCACTAATAAAATGCTTAACTTTATTAGTTGGTCAATATAAACGTAACGTAGCGATCGGACTAGTTATGGCTTCTACTTATATTGGAGGAATCGTTGGGGTTTTAATTTTCCCACTTAATGAAGCACCCTCATTTTATAAAGGGAACATGATATGTTTAATCGCAGTGATTATTCAGTGTATATTGGCAATTATATTGAAATTTCATTTAGACCATATTAATAAGAAACGTGATTTAGACTTATTATCTCGTCATAACGTTAGCTTAAATGGTAGTGAGTTAAGGAATAGTAAAAAGATTAGAGAATTGGCTATGAAATTAGTAGAACATGAACCAAAGTGTGATGAAGTGCTATGTGATTATCATCCTAATTGGAGATATATAACTTAATTAATTATTCTTGAATTATTTATCATCCCACTTTAATCTTATAGCTATATACTTGTTCAAATAATGTATAATATTTTTGAATAAACGTTTAATTATTGGTTTCATTGTTGCTAGCACAAATAATATTGTAGAATGAACATTTTACCAATAATCGTGAACTATTTTAAAAGGCATAATTAACTTGTTTACGTAGACTGTTATTAAAAAAACATAGGTGAATATTGGCCTTAAAAATCCAGACCTGAATACATGATTGCCCTTTTTTAACTATTCATCATTAACTAAATAAGTTTAGAATATTTAGCATGATGACATCACATCCAAATGTTTCTCATTGAATAAACAAATTGGGTGTAATTTCGATAGAAATTGGTACAACTTGATCGAATTTTTTTTCTAATGCATTTACATGGAAGCTTGTCAATACACAAATTGTAATATATAAAGTTATCAGATATTTTTTGATGAAGCATTATTCGCCTATTATATTCTCCATGATTTTTTTATTGAATAGAAACGTTATGCCTATACTATAGTTCCAGACTTACGGAGTTCGAATTATTAAGGAAAATACTCCGATTTTTTTTATTATGCGTACAAATATAACGAGAAAGTATTATTATAATTTTTAAACACAGACGGAATATTACCCTTTAATAACAACCCGAGTAGTTATTACAATAATTTAAAGTTTATATTGATATTTTTTACGATTTAAAAAAAAAAAAAACTATTTTAACGGCTA